CCTTTTTCCCCCTTTAAGGTTGTTTCGTCGGTCATTGATTTTGTGAGATATGTCCTAAGAGAAGCTGCCTTTGTTGGAAACTGTCTTCCCTGGGATTTTCTTGGGGCATATGGGAAAGAGATAAACAACACGATCTAACCTATACTACTGTATTAGGGATCTCTGGATATATGCCCCTCTTAGTTTCTGACATTGAGTTGAGGATTTGGGCTGCATATGGAAAGAAGGAACCCACTATGCCACCCTTAGAAACGGACTTGAAGCCTTGGATTGAAGGCAACCAGTGACATTCTAAAATACAATTTCACAATAGCTCATGAAAGGAGTTCTAGGATGTCACGATTGGATGATTACTATGGGCCTGCCATTGTTGAAGCCTTCTTTTGGCATTTATCTATCTTGCTTGATTTGAAAAACGATACTCTTATTCTTATCATTTGTTCTTCATGTTCCAAATATAGAAATTATGAGTACTTATGGAAAAAAGAAGAAGACAAACCATAAGCATAAGATGGTTATGATTTGAGTGTATCAACAGTGTAACTGTGTTGAATCAAATATTATATAAAAAGTATTAATAAGTTCCTTTGCGCACCACTCCATTCACTACAATTATTAGTCATTTGGTAATATGTTTTAGATATTATAAACGTGAAATACTAACGCAGGAAAATTATTCTTATTTGTAATTTTTATTCAATTTCAAAGGATGTATATTTAAATTTAAATTTTAGTTTTTAGGGTTTTCAATTGTTTTGGGATTCCAGGTTCTTCTTTTTGCTTTTATTATTATTATTATTATTTATATTTATTGATTTTTTGGAGTTGTGTAGAAAAGTACTTAGTGTTTATAGAATATTTTGTTTTACCAAGGGTAAAATTGTTATTACGAATTTTATTTTAAGTTAGGACTATTTTAGTCATTATACTTTTGTTTAGAGGCATTATTAACTTTGTAATTGAATTATTGAATAAAAGAGATTTGCATGGATCTCTATTGTGGTTTGGTTCTGAGAAAAAGAAAGTAAAGCTCCTGGCTTTTCAAGCCATAGGTGGTTGAGGAAGAAACGCTAGGTTTATTCTACTTGTTGCTTGTTTTTGGCCTGAATTATTACTGATTTTCTACTCTCTATTGATTTTCCTACATCAATTTGGTATCAGATCTCATGCTTCCTTCAACATGAAGGCCAAGAATCTATAACTAAGTCTATGGCTTCCTGGTTTTGGGCCAAGTTTTGCCAAATACAGCCTAGATCTTGCTGATTTCAATGAGGTTTTGTTGATTCTCTGTCTAAGGTTTGTGATTTCGGAAAATCTATGGCAATGAGAAGGGGCAGTGGAAGGGGGGATCTCATAGACCAGTTCATGTTCCCAGAGATGAGGCGATTGAAGACCTCAGAAGAAAGTTCAGCAGGCAGCCCAACTCTTTTGCCAGTAACTTAAACTCATATGCCATCTCGATTGGGAACCCAGGCTTCTCAGGTTTTGGAGGGATATTTGGATTGTACTCGGGTACCATCCTCACCACTTATTCTAGACTTGTTGGCAACTCAAAACATTTCATATGCTGAATCTTATACTCTTCTTGTGGGCTTGTGATTATTGAATAGAAGTTTGGGTTCCTCACTAGTTGTTGAATTTGATGCCTTCAATTCAATAATGTGGGCCAACAATCTTCCTCCTGCCCCCCCGGGAGGCTAGAGTGTTTATTCAACCAAGTATGTCAATTATGTGAAGGCAACTCAGTTTCCTTTCAACAACCGACGCACATCACGAGATGCCAATTCAGGCTGACCACTTAGCAAAAGAACCGGTGACTTATGCATTCGTCTCCGTGACACATTTTCATAACCGCCATAGATACCATATTATCTCACCCAAGGTTGCGATTTCGATTTGGGATCCCGACTCCACGATTCCTATAAGGAATCTGTTTGTGTAGTCAAGAATATCGATTCCTTATTTCAGGAATCTTGATTGCAACGCTTATCGATTATCGTTTCTAATATTTATTGATTCTCGATTCCTTGATTGTTGAATCTCGATTCTACGTTTGTTGAATCTGGATTCCATAGATAATGATACTCGATTCGACTGTTTTCGAATCCATATTCCTAAACATCAAGTACCTCGGGTTGTAGATGCAAGAAATCACATATTAATCGAACATACAATCTTGGCTCGATGCTTATAGAATCACGATCTGATTTTTTTGGAATCATAATAGAACAAAATCAAATACAATGTTCTTGGTGCTCAAATCTGCAACTTATGGATTGGTTCAAAATATTTGTGGATTACGATTTGAGTCATTTGGAATCTGGTCTGGAGACGATTGTCTCCAATAGTTCATATGTGCTCTGAAGAATAATATGATGAACGCATTTTCGAAGTATTGGTTCCATAAATCAACTTCAAGTGCAAATGTCTAGAGTTTAGTGCTTAACAAGTATCATTCCAATGTCTTTTGCAGGTAACAAAGGCAAGTATAACATCATTTGGTGATAACAAAAAATTAAGATAACTTAGGCCTTGCAACGTTAAAAATTGAATACTCCATGTCTTCACCCCTAGTATCAAAGGCACATACTACAACATAGACAATACCATGGATAATGAAATCAAAATCACGTGTGAAAATGCATGAGATAATATTTGTATCTTTTGTGGACATTTTCCCTAAGTGGACTACGAGTGTCCATTAATTGACCCTACTTTTGATACTGTGTCTGAGGTTCAATAGTCAATTCATTTACTTTAAATTTAAGGAACCCTTGTTCAGGCCTTAGGAACCTCTGATATTGATCACTTGATGAGGTTCTAAGTTGTTAAGGTGCGAGATGTCATTGATGTAGGGATCTTGGTTCTAAGGGGGTTGATTTGAAATCTTGATTTCCAGGTGGGACGAAACCTAATTCCAAATTGATATGAATCTTGATTCCATATACATCAGAAACTCGATGCCTAAAATATCGGAATCTCTATTTCATATATGAAGAAATCTCGATTCCAAATAGGTTAGAAACTCGATTCCAAAGAGGTCAGAATCACAATTCTATATTGTAGTGATCTCAGTTCCATTTGGGTCGAATCTTAGTTCCTAGAAAAGTAAGAATCTTGTTTCCTGCAATTCCCTTTGTACAAACGTTGATTCCAAAAATAGGAATCTTCTAGCAAATCGTGATTCCAATTCCTAAAACAATTCGGAATCTCAAGCATTTCCAACAACTATAATCTCCCCCTCCATAATCCTATCTAGGATTCAATTTTGTACAGTCTAGGTCGGTGCTAGCTTTTGTCATTTTTGTATGCTCACACACACTACGAATTGTACAACTTCGATACAGAAATGCAAAGAGTTATTTCATCATCATCATCATCATCATTCGAGCTTTATCCCAACTAATGCAAAGAGTTATTTATCCAAAGAAAATGACTATGGTGGTGATGGTGATTGAGTCTGAGGCGGAAGAGGTGGCGGTGATAGTGAAATCACAATACGAAATAACTAAAAAGAAAAAAAGAAAAATGATGGTAGATATGGTTGTTTTGGAGTACGCAGTCAGTGGTGGACGCAAAAGATGCCAAGGGTACAGGTTGGAATGTGGGTAAAGAATGAGGGGGAAATAGAGATGGTGGTGATGTCGAAGAGGTTTTTAGTAGAAGAGAATTGGCAGGTACAGGGCCTACGCATGGGGCAAGAAATGGAGGTGGGTTTGACACCACATGTGAAACGGTCATGTCCTCCTCTGTAGTGTGTTATCTTGCAAGGAGAGTAATATGGAATGGGAGATGAGGTTGATGTGGTGGTCTTGATTAGTGGAAATGGGGGTTTGAGAGGTGCTCATATGTAAGCACACGGTAAAAGGATTAGGAGAAGGTAGAAGTGCCTAGAAGTTAAGAGAAAGTTAGGATGGAGTAGACTAAATGTCATCTAAGAAGGGCAAAAAGAAGACACCATCAGATAGTGGGCAGCTGCATTAAAGGAAGGGCAATTGGAGATCTTTTGGCCTTGATAGATGTGTTTGGATAGTGTCTCAACTATTGGGGCGGGGTAAAGTTGATGGCTGAGAACATGGTTTGTTGACCATATAGCATGCAAAAATGTACTTAGGTGGGCATGTCATTAGTCATAGTCTTATGACAAGAGAGAATTAAGTACTACATTTAGTAGTGATCGATAATGGCCTGTGTGGTGAGAATGGGTGATCTGATTGGTGGCAGGTCTTGCTGTCTTGATCATCACAACAGTACAAAACATGGAGGCGGTAAGGAGGGGTTATTTGTCTATTGGGGTTGTGGCCTCACCCTGAAAATGATCACCATGTTACATTAGCCCTGCAAGATATATTTTAATGTGAGAACTTATTTAAGATTCAAGTGAAGTACACATCTCGCTGCATTCAGGAGCAATCAGTGGAAGATGTATACAAAATAAGTGTTAAAGCAGTAGGGGATTGTCCCCACAGCATCTGATTCTCTTTTCCAGCCAAAAACGTTTTGTTAGCATGATAGAATGGTTAAGGATTATGGCATGGATACCACCCATGGCCATACCATATCATTCCATGGGTTATATCCCACGTCTTTGGTTCCTCTAGTTTTGGGGTTGTATTTCAGTTTAGGTTCCTGATTTTGACAAATTGCATATTAATTTTAGTAGGGAAAATTTGGGTTCCATATCACTCTTTCTTCTCAGTTTATTTTATTTGGATTTTTATGTCGTTAAATTCTTCTCTTTGCACATCCTTGCTAAATACTTTCTATCAACTACCCATCAAATAAATTATTTTCTATCAATCCAGAAATTATTAATGTGGTTTGCCTTAGGCGGTATTTACTCATATTTATCAAAAAACCCAGAGTTGTCTTTAGAGATCCTAGCTCTTGATCCAAGTGAGGCCTATTACATTACACTAACAACATGAATGTTTCTTTATTTTTACCACCATCTTGATCTGCATATGTGACTTGTTTGTAGATGCTTTACCCCTTGGCAGGCCCACTATATGCTTGGACTAGCATTGCTACAGAGGCAGGAATATGCAGAAGGTATTAAGGCACTGGAGAAGGTAAGGATTATGGATTTGTGAATGTAGACAGATATATATTTTTTATTGTTTCTTCTCTTGATATTTGATCAGTTAGTCCTTTGCCTGGATAGTGCAATGAACCATGGTTCAGTTCTGTTTTGGGTCGGGAGCCCTTCATATTTGAAATGGCATATTAGGTGCTAAGTTACACCCCAATTAGGTTTGCCTTTGAAAATGCTGCCACTTTGTGAGTTGGATGAAAACTGAAAATATTCATTTTCGTCCCACTCACTCATTGGCAGATTTAGGTGGAGCAGTGACCACATGTTGACCGAAACCCATGTGGCATCCAAACACGGGGCAAACCAGTTAATACTTTTTGCTATCTCACTGGAAAGGATCTCATGAAAAGATGCTCTTTTAGAAGATTATATCATCATCATCATCATCATTTTAGCCTTTTCCCAATTAATTGGGGTTGGCTACATGAATTTTGGTTATCCATTCTGCTCTATTAAAGGTCATATTTTTAGCGAGATCATAAGTCCCCATATTTTTTCGAACTACTTCCAACTACATCTTTTTGGGCCTACCTCTTTCCCTTTTTAGTCCTTCCACTTGGACTAATTTGTACCTCGTAACACGTGTTGTACTTGGTCGGTGCCACACATGGCCAACCCACCTAAGTCTTCTCTCTCTCATTTTATCGCCTATTGGTGCCACACCTAAATTCTCTCAAATAGATTCATTGCGAATTCTATCCCTTTATGTCTCGCCACTCATCCATCTCAACATCCTCATCTCCGCTGCACTGATTCTATGAGCATATTGTTTTTTGTCTACTCAACATTCTGCCCCATAGAGCATAGCTGGTCTCACCGCTGTCGTATAGAACTTGCCCTTCGGTCTCATTGGTATGCGACGATCACATAAATTGCCAGTGGCACATCTCCTCTTCGCCCACCCAGCTCTAATTTTGTGTACGACGTCTTCCTCGATCTCTCCATTTTCCTGGATTATCGATCCAAGATTTCGAAAGCGCGGTCTTTTTTCTACTTCCTGGTCGTCAATCTTAATTACTTCCTCGCCTTTACCCCTATTGTTACCAAATTCAATCCTTTCTTGACCTTCCTGGCATAAAACCAAATTGGTTTTCAGATACACTCATTTCATGCCTTAGTCGTTGCTCAATGACTCTTTCCCAAAGCTTCATAATATGGTTCATAAGTTTGATACCTCGATAGTTGCACAATTATGCATGTATCCTTTGTTCTTGTAAATAGGTACCACAATACTTTTTCTCCATTCTTCTGCCATTTTCATTGTTCTCACCACCTTGTTGGACAGCTTTGTCAGCCAGTCAATGCCAATTTCCCCCATGCACTTTCAAATCTCCATCTTATTCTCCTCAAGGAGGAAATATTTTGGTCCCAAAGAGCCAAAGTCATATGGTTAAAATTGGGCGATTTGAACACTGGCTACTTTCATAAGATAGCGAATTGCAGAAGGAGAGAAAATGCCATCTCTTGGTTGAAAATCAACAACCTCATTCTCGATCAACCCCACCTTATAGAACAAGCCGCTATTACCTTCTTCTCCGAGCTCTTTACTGCCCCCACTAGCCCAAAACCCTTCATGCATGACCTTGCTTTTCGCTCTCTACCTCCTGAGGAAGCTTCTTGGCTAGAACATGTCTTCTCAGAGAACAAATCCTCGGCCTTGAACAATCTCAGCCTTGACCGAGCCCCAGGCTCTGTTGGGTACCCTATGGCCTTCTTCAAATCATTTTGGGACTCCATTCAAACTAATGTCTTGGACATTTTCTCTGAATTCCACTCTAGTGGGGTGATAAACAAAGCCATGAATGCTAAATTCCTGGTCCTTGTCCCAAAAATCGAAGGGAAAGAGGAGCTCTAGGACTTCAGTCCCATCAACTTAGTAAATAGCTCCTACAAGCTGCTCTCCAAAGTACTTGCATCTAGACTCAGGGCTGTGCTCGGCCAGGTCATCTCCCCCACCCATGCGACCTTAGTAAAAGGTCGCCAAATTCTTGATGGTGCCCCAATAGCCCACGAGTGTATTCGCTCTTAATCCATATCGCCCTAATAGCCCACGAGTGTATTCGCTCTTAATCCATATCAAAGTCTCTTGGACTTATCATTAAAATTGACTTGGAAAAAGCCTACAACCATATAGACTAGTCGCTCCTCGACGAGACTCTTAGGCGGATGGCCTTCAGACCTAAGTGGAGAAGTCGGATCACGGGCTGTATCTCCAGCCCTGTATCGCCTTCGGACCTAAGTAGAGAAGTTGGATCAGGGGCTGTATCTCCAGCCCTGTATTGTCAGTGCTTATAAATAGGACCTCAAAAGGCTACTTCCTAGCCACTAGAGGTCTTCTCCAAGGCGACCCTCTATCACCCTTCTTGTTTGCCATCTCAGCCGAGGTCTTCAGTAACTCCATATCTACGTTCTATCAAGCGGGATTCTTGAGAGGATTCCAATCTAGCAATCTTGGCCCGATGATCTCCCTCCTTCAATATGCAGATGACACTCTTGTCTTTTGCGGCCCCTCGTAACACCAAGTCGACAACTTACTGCTCTTCCTCAAATGTTTCGAGGTGGCAACTGGTTTCAAGGTGAACCTCGCCAAGTCTAAGATGATGGGAATCCATACAGAGCCATTCCTAATACAGTCTCTAGCCGATAGATGGGGATGTTCAGTGGAGGAATTGCCCTTGACTTATCTGGGCCCTCCCCTTTGCCTTGGAAAGCCAAGATTCTTGCAATGGAGCCACATCATTGACAAGTTTACAGATTAGCTGGTTGGAAGGGAAAGTTTCTATCCAATGCAGGTGGGCTCACGCTTATCAAGGCCACCCTCGCCAATACCCTAGTGTTTCAGATGTCCCTATTCCACATCCCTGCGGTGTGGCTGCACGATTGGAAAGATTGATGCGGGAATTTTTTTCGGGCAGGGGAACATGGACACAAATACCACCTGGTGTCTTGGCCCAAACTGTGCTTCTCCATATCTCAGGGGGGTTTGGGATTCATAACCTCAAAACTCACAACGCAACCCTCATGGGCAAGTGGTGGTGGAGGTTGCCACTCAACCAAATCACCGGTGGAGAGAGGTCGTCAAATTTAAGTATTGCCATGGAAACCATCTATGGACCCCAGAGTGCCAAACGACTGGGCCCAACTCGTTTTTGGTGATCTGTTCTTCGATGCAGAGGCTCCTTCCTCCAACACATTCGCTTTAGCCTGAGGGAGGGGACTAAGGTAAATTTCTGGTTTGACAAGTGGATAGGCAACAGTCTACTCAGGGAATAGTTTCAATCTCTACCTTCTGGCTACTAATGCCCGGTCCACAGTGGCAGAAAATTTCCCTTCCATGGGCGACAGGATCTTGGTCGCCAATTTGCAGTAGACCTCTCGCTGACCACGAACTAGAAGACTTCAATGCACTGACTGGTTTGCTTCATTCTATTTTCGTCCCTATTTCTGGAGAAGATAGGATCATTTGGACTCCTGCTGCTTCAGGCACCTTCTCGGTGTCTTCTTTCTTACGCATCCTCACCTTGAACCTCAATCCCTTCTCTTCTTAACCCTCTCCCTCGCATCCAAAGCATGGCTCCCTATCCTTCCACCGAGAATTCAAGTCTTCTGTTGGATCGCCATTCACGAAAGGTTGCTGACCATTGATCAAATCCGGAGAAGAGGCATGTCTTGCCCAAAGAGATGTGCCATGTGTATGGAAGATGAGGAGTCCAATGCACACTTGTTTTTACACTTTAAGGTCATCTATGCCTTGTGGACTGCCCTACTCAAACTCTTCGAGTGCACTTGGGTCACCCCCAGATCCATCCACAAACTTGTTCAGGCCCTCCTCTCCACCCCTTGGCCAAAGGCAGGGAGACTGCTCTGGAAAGCCTCAATCACAGCCACTCTTTGGGTCATTTGGCTCAAAAGAAATAACAGAATTTTGGGGGGAGAAAAATTAAGAATCTTGTAACCTTTTGGGCCACAAACCATAATATTTTCAAGGGTTACTCTGCTATTGACTTTTCAAGTCAATTGGCGGAATCTCTTGCAGGTTTCATGACCTTCTATATCCGTGGCTTCTTTATGGAGAATCCCAGAACAAGGTGCCATTAAGTTCAATTTTGATGGTTGCTCCCTTCGCAACCCGGGCCCCTCAAGTATAGGTGGTCTATTCAGCAGTAGTGATGGCATTACCCTGCTGTCCTTTTCTAAAGCCATTGGCACAGCCAGCTCTGCTCTAGCTGAGGTTCTGGCCTTGTTGGAGGGCCTTCACAAGTTTGAACTTTCCTGGAGCACTGAGCTTTTGGTGGAAGGAGACTCTAAAAGCATTATTTCTTGGGCCTCCAATCTCACTCCCTGGCTGTGGCATTTAGAGGATTTTTATATGTCTGTAGTGGTATCAGGGTGTCCTGGACCCACATCTTTAGTGAAGCCAATACAATGGTGGATTTTTTGGCTAAGCAGGGTGCCCATTCAAAATCTACTGCAGGGTCCTAATACTTGGTGCCCCTTCTGATATGCTCCTTCTCTCCTTGGTCTCTCTCTCCTATCTTTAAATTGTAAAGTCTCTCTTTAATCCTCGGGGTTTTGTATAGGGCACCCTGTTTGGGTTGCCTAACTTTTGTAATATTCTATTTTAGTAATGCAAGTAGTTAACATTATCAAAAAAAAAAAAAGCTCGCTTTGATTCAAATATTCCTATTCTAATATTTAAATTTGAAAAGTCAAATATGATTACATAAAATTTGAAAAATCTGACTAAGCTTGTGATCACTATACTCAAACTTGTGCTTTATATATTAATGGATAAACAAAGAAATTAACATCAACAGCAAGTGGACCTCAATTCTCATGTGCTGGAAATGTCACATGTGGGTTTTGTGAACCAATGATACCTCGTATTTCACGTGTTTGTTGGGAATCTATGTACCAATGTTGTGCTACTTTGAGGAACATGACCTAATAATGAAGTTTTTATGCATTTCCTTGGTCTCGATTGAAATTCCTTAGTTCCATTGAGTATAAAAAAGAACGATGGGATTGTCTTTTTCCTTTTCAGGCTATCTTGTTCTGAAAAATATTTCTCCGGTATTGACAGCTGTAGTGCTTTTTAAGTATCTTTGTCGTGTTTTTGACTGATGATATATTCTTTTGAGAACAGGCATTGGATCTTGGCAGGGGTGCAAACCCTGCCAGTTATATGGTGGAGGAAATATGGCAGGAGCTTGCCAAAGCCAAATATTCAGAGTGGGAACACCTCTCTCATGCTCGGATAGAAAGGCTTGACGTCTTGAGGCATGTGTTTCATCTAATACACTGGCATTACATTATTTTCTTTGACGTTTTATCTAGATATTTGGAAACTTTTCCCCCATCCCATTACCTTGACTTGGAAACATGTCTGTAATCCAGAGAAGCATGTGTGAAGGCTTTAGGATCTCAGCGCATGCATGGTGTTTCTCGGGTGATTGGGTTATCGAATGAAGCTGAAGGTGATCCAGAACAGTTAAAACATCTCTCAGAAGTTTTCAGAAAAGCTGCTGAAGCTGACATCCCATCTGAGGTAACAGATAAATCTTTCATTTCTTTCCCTTTCCCTTTCCCTTTCCCTTTCCCTTTCCCTTTTCTTCGATTAGTATCTTTATTTCAGTTCATTGTTCATTGGAGTTCTTTACACGAAATTAGTCTGAATCCTATAGGTGCCAGACCACCTGTGCTGCAAAATTACATTGGATATCTTCAGGGACCCTGTTATCACCCCGAGTGGGATAACATACGAGAGGGCCGTGCTTTTAGGTCATCTTCAAAAGGTGCATCTCTCTCTCTCTC